ACTATATAAAAACGTTTTTAATCGCAATCCTAACCGCATCCTTAATTTGTGTTATTATTAGGTTACTTTACAGAGTAAACAATATATCTATTGTAGTAAATGAAATTAATAAACTATGAGATCAATGATCATTTTCTCAAAAAAAAAATAAAACTTTTTTTTTAACACCATCACATTTGCCACATAACTAATTTTAATTAATTTTTTTATAAATTATAATCAAACCTATCATACTAGGGGAATGGGGAAGGGAGATCATCAGCGGCTCGAACTTTCAACCAGAGAGTATGTTCTCACTAAAGCCCAGCAGAAATCCACTCGGTAGTCGGTCCATGAGTGCGGAACAAATAATTTTAATTAATTAATTAAATTAAAATTTATATTTATATTTTTATATAAATTAATTAAAAATACAATAAATACAATTTTAAATAAAAAAACCATTAAAACAAATTACGACTAAATCACCTTTTTTTTCTTTTACAGCCTCACGGCATATTGTTTTTGGGTGACGTTATTGGGAGAATTTTTTTATTTTATTTTTTTATATAATTTTTATACATCATTAAATAAATAAATATATTTAATATTATAAATTTTAAAAAATTAATAATTTTAATAACACATTAAATTTTATAAAAAAATAAAATAAAATAATTACCCTAATAACATTTCTCATGTTTTTTTGAATAATTATAAATACATCATTTTCATTTAATATTCGTTGGACGAAGACAAGTCAAAACTGCTCCTCGCTCGTACTGCCGCTCCCGCTAGGGTTCGTCTCAAGTTTCCGGTGCCGAAATCGGATCTATTCCGGTAACGATTTCATCTCTTCTCTACTGTTTTCCCGCCGCTATGCTTGATGATTTTCTGTTTGGATAAATTCATGTTTTGTCGCTGCTTCCTTTATGAAATCTGTGCTTTTTTTGCTCGATTCAGGAATGTGAGTCCGATTTACTGTAATTCAATATGGAACTTGAATTTCTTGATGCTTCGATTTTACATTTTTGCAATGCAGATCAGTCGCTTGTGTAGAGTAGTGTTTCTTGCTAATTACTTGGATTTTTAAACAATCTTGTTTTCTGCTGGACATACAGTACTTGTTCTCTTCTCTGGACTAGATGGAGCAGGTTTGTAGAACATTGACTTGTATTTTTTTTTTTTCTTTGTTCTTGTTCATTACCTATCATTTTGCTTAAGCTCATTGTGATATTTGTAACAATCCAGTACGAGAAAGTTGAGAAAATTGGTGAGGGAACCTATGGTGTGGTTTATAAGGCTCGTAACCGTGACACAAATGAGACCATTGCTTTGAAGAAGATCCGCTTGGAGCAGGAAGACGAGGGTGTACCTAGCACTGCAATCAGAGAAATTTCTCTCTTGAAAGAAATGCAGCATGGAAACATTGTCAAGTATGTATGCTGATTATGTAAATAAATGCTTCTCTCACTGAGCCAAGCACTGACATGTGTTAATCAACTGACCATTAAGTCTGGAATTTTTCACCTGTTAGATATTCACCCATGGAATCATCATCATAAACAGAGTGTACAACTCGAGCACATAAAATACCGCATGGCATGTACATATTATGCATTTTGAGACAACAAGAGTTAGATAATAGCTTCTAATTTGGAAGTTTTGTTGAGTGTCTGACTAAGTTGCTTTGAGTTGTTGACCTCATTAGGATGCAGTCATTCAATTGTATGTTTTTGCTTATGTGCAATCTATTGTCAACTGATGTATTAGTTAATCTTAACCTGCATAATTAGCATTAGGATATCACCTTTTGAAACCTAAAATTTTGGCTATTGCACCTTATTACTGTGTGCTAACATATCTATTGGTTATGCAATGCATAAACTGTTATATAACTTCTCTCATTGATGTCTGGGTGACAGATTGCAGGATGTAGTGCATAGCGAGAAGCGCTTGTATCTAGTTTTCGAGTATCTTGACTTGGATTTGAAGAAGTACATGGATTCATGTCCAGATTTTGGAAAGGATTCACAAATGATAAAGGTAAGTCAAATCTTTTTCCTTTTGAAGCTTCATGAGTTATGTTTGTCATAAAATTAGACACTATCTGGAGGCAACAGCTTGGCAGTTTGGCATTCTCTACATCAGAGAAATCAATGATTGTTAAAAGATTTTTAGTGCCTTTTTGGGTGCATTGTTTAAAATTTTTTAAAAATTAAAATGTAAGCACTCGAAGTTCTTTTGTCCTGAAATAGTTTTGTTTAGGCATGGTAGAAGCCAGAAATTTGGCATGGGAAAATGGACATAAGTCAACTGTTTTTGGTTTTGGATGAAAAGATTGAACTTATGGAGTAGGAATATATTTCTTTAGGAACTGATCTGGGAGTGATGTCTAATTTTCCCATGAGTTACTATGGTAATTCATCATTCACTGCAGAGATAGATTATTTATCTAGCTTCTGCAATCCTTTTTGGTTACCCTGCCATGTCACTGTGGTTAATTTGGTTATTTGCCTGTCTTTTTCAGACATTCCTTTTTCAAATTCTCCGTGGCATCGCCTATTGTCATTCACACAGGGTTCTTCATAGAGATCTGAAACCTCAAAATTTATTGATAGATCGCCGTACCAATGCACTAAAGCTTGCTGATTTTGGGCTGGCTAGAGCATTTGGAATTCCTGTTAGGACATTTACACATGAGGTACAGAGATCATCAATTCAAGTTTTCTTTTCTTAATATTTCCTATTAATAATTGCTTTTCAGCAGCATTGTTGGGTCTTTTGATCAGTATCCAACTCTTAATGTCAATATTAGCTGTTCTTCCTAATATGAGATAAGAAATGCCAATTTCTTAAATATCTTGGTTCAACTGTACTTCCATGGTTGAACTTGATGGAGTGGAATAATCATTAAGAAGTGATGAATAAAGGTGGGGTGGAATAATCATTATGAAGGGAATAAACGAGGAAAGGGAAAGGACAGAATAATTGTTCAGAGAGACACAGAGACAACCATTAGTTTCCTGTACCTTGGTCCTAATAATGTTTGGTTATTTTTAGGTGGTTACCCTGTGGTACAGAGCCCCAGAAATACTGCTTGGGTCTCGCCATTACTCGACTCCTGTTGATGTGTGGTCAGTTGGATGTATATTTGCTGAGATGGTGAACCAGCGACCATTATTTCCAGGGGACTCTGAGATTGATGAACTATTCAAAATCTTCAGGTGATGCAGTTTCTAGTTTCCTTACCTTAATTTGGCTTTCCATTTGCTAGCCCAAAATTTAAAAAGTTATTCTCCATGCCAGATATCTAAAACTGGGGTTATATGTTTATTTTGGTATATGCAGTAAGAACTTTTCTCCTCATGTATTAGCTTTTGAAGAAGATTATTGTGATTCATATTTTAACTTCAAAATTATATATTAGTGGTATTTTATTTATTGTATATCTTATTAAGTGTTCCTTAAACATAAATGGGAAGGAATTTTATACGGTGGCCCAACTTGTTAATTCAGCAGATTTGAATATTGATAATCAGTCGTAATTCTACTCTTAAGGACTATCAGTTTCAGGTTGGTTGGATTCAACAATATGAAGACTGTATATTTCCATAATTTATACGTCAATCTGCTTTTGAGTCTTTGACATGTGGCAGACTTCATCTTATTTCATCAATATCTATTCTGAATCTGATTTTAAATGCTTGTTATTTATTTTGCATAGTTTTGGAAATTTATTTTGATTTACTTGGCCAGCAGACACTCAATAAATCTGTGTTCTAATATGTAAAATAACTAGTTTAAAATATAATTCAAGATTGAACACAGAACATATTTCCTTATTCTGACATGTTATGCCTTCATCTTTGTTTGAGTACATTAAATTCCACAAACAAGTGAGTATAACTTCACTTCTTGTAGCCTTGTAGCACTAATGTACTCTCTTAGTTCTTTTAGTTATTTATTATTCGTTCTCATCACCCATAAACCAACTGTAGCATAAAGTATCCTTTGATCATTTAGAAAATAGAAATGATGTTGGAAATTGCATGAGATCTTTTGCTATCCTTTTGCTTGTACCTGGAAATGATCCTTGTTATGTTCTTATTTTATGCATGAATACAAGCAGGCACATTTATGTTTAGCAAATTGAGCTATTTTATTTCCTAAACCATCCAAATAAGCCTTTGTTCATTTGGTAGGTGAAGATAGCTTTGCACCAAGTGCATCCCTAATCTGTTGTTTTCAGCTAACATGTTGCTTACTGTATGAAGAGTCTTGGGCACTCCAAATGAGGAGACGTGGCCTGGGGTGACTTCACTGCCTGATTTTAAATCTGCTTTTCCTAAGTGGCCTCCTAAGGTAGTTAGCCTCATCTGTGACATCAATTGCTAGTGTAAATCACTGTCAATCTGTTTGATAAATCATTGAAGGAATTAATTGATGCACCTTTTACTTGCAGGATTTGGCAACTGTTGTTCCAAATCTTGAATCAGCTGGCATCGACCTTCTTTCTGTAAGTTCTAATTTGAAATTTAATTATGAGACTGGCTGACAATAAATTTTTATAACTTACGCACTGGTCTTTTACCTTTCAGAAAATGCTCTGCATGGATCCCAGCAAAAGAATCACAGCTAGAAGTGCTCTTGAGCATGACTACTTCAAAGATATTGAGATTGTACCCCCGTCTTCCTGAGGAGAAGAAATGTTAATAGTGATGTGTACAATTCTGTGGCTTCTGATTGTTAGAAATATATGCATTTTTGCCCTCTCCCTCTCATTGCAATTTTTCGTTCAACTTTCACGGAACAACATTGCTGCCAGTGCTGCCAGTTCAAACTGTTTCTTTGCAGTAATCTCCAATGGTCCATTGTATTCTAGCACTATGTTTCTTGTTCTCTCTGTCACGGTAAGTAAATGGCATTTTGCAGCTTTAGCAGATTTTTTTTTTTTTTCAAACATTCGTATGAGGCGTATCATGTTATATAGGTTTTTGTGTATCTTTTCTGGAATGATGTAATTTGCTTTGCCTTTGATTGAATCCTTGGTTTTTTCTGGTTCTCTTCCCGTCCTTCCTTTCAACATGAGAAGTGAATTTGGTGGCACCTAATCCTCGAATGAATTCAAAATGGTTGAAATTGGGTAGATCAAGCAAAATCTGTGCTCTCAGCACTTATTGGAATATTTTTGCGAAAAGGCAATACCAGTACTATTACATGTATACTTTTTAAATTCTCACAACAATGGAAACTATATTCTATATAAACACAAAATTCCTCAGTGAGATACCTCAACAATACCACAGCCAATAAGCACCCAAACTATTGCAAATCTCAAAGATCAAGAACAGCAATACAAAAGAATGAGATAAAAGCGAGAAGACAATGTAGGTTAAAGAAAGAAAACATCTGACCACAATTACATAGCCTTCAGAGAATCGGTATTTTAACTGCCCCGATTCCCAAAGGCTATTCTTTTTCAGCTACTTCCTCAATCTCAGGGCGAGGGCTATTAGGGCTAACAAGGCTGTTGTTTGTCAGTGTACTGTCACTCGTACAAGCAATGGTTTTGTCTGTTGCATCATCATTTCTGCCTGCTTTCAAGGAGTCCATTTTAGGGAAGGCAGAGCTAGAAACATTTTCTTCCAATTGTTTTGGCCCATTTAGGGCATGACAGTGTGGGCAGTAGTAGGTAATGTATGGGAAATCCTCCTTCCTAGCAAGTCCTGCAGATAACAAAAGAAGAAATGAAGTCTATTATTCTTTAGGAAACCATAATTCCGTTTAAGTGTGCATGACTGTGTGCATTTGGTGGAATTATGGGATAAATAATGCTCCTTAGCAGATAGCATAGCTGCAACAGTGCATCTCACTCACCATTGTGCATATGACAGTTGCCACATATGAGTGCGTACGACTGTGTTGGGTCCTCACCCACAAGTAAGGCAGCAATTCGAGCAAGCCATCCCCCATCATGCATGCTAGATCCCTCAGTATGGTGATGATCAACTACTTGATTATACTCAGAAGATTGAGGGCTCCCATTTCCGGAACAATGAGGTGTTTCTTCAATAGAATGATGCGATGGAGCACTTCCCACACTAGTGGATCTTGTGAGTATTTGCTTTCGATTTCGAAGCCCACTAGATTGCACTACCTCAACATCACTGCTCTTGCCTGTTGGGACATTAAGGTTTGGCTCATCTCCTACGTAGACTTTCAAGCCTGAGTCTGCACCCAGTTTAGATGCCAGGATGGTAGCAGCAGCAGCCTTGGCGGCAGGATCAGGATCGTATCTCTTCATCAAAATGCATGACTAAGTTCAATTTGGAGAAACTTATGTAATGTGATAAAATGCATTTGCAAAGGTGCTCCATATAGTGTCTCACTGCTTATTTCATATTAAGTGAAAAAAGAACAAACTTGACAAACAAAACCGAGGGAAGAAAACCTAAATAATTTTTGTTTGTTATTAGTTAACCGGCAGCCCGTGAAAGATTATCTCCAAAGCATCTTAATCTTCCTCTGGATAAGTGGTGGATATGCATTTTTTCAGATTAATCTGATAATCTCCCTTGGAGTAAAGTGCCGTTGCAAGCTGTGTTTAAAAAAGGCATTGAATTTGTGACTATATACATTTAGCATATGTTTCAGCAGTTCAACAGCCAAAAGCTATTTTCACAGCTTTCACAATGGTTGTTTATCATTTCCATTACCTTGTGAAAACTGAAAACAAACAAGATAAAAATCGTAACCTGATCTCATCAAATAAAGCTTATTATGACTTTACCATTGGTCATTCATCCGCAGTTCACAAATCATTCTTCTGTTCTTCATAATTTTAACAAGTAAAAGGAGTTCAAGCATAGATTTGGAGTGAGAAACTAAAGAAATAAAGATGGGAACGATAGCCAGTTTCTAGCAATTACCTGAATAAGTTGTTGCGTAGTATAATAGTTTGTCTTCTCCTTCAGTTCATCAATTTTTGCTTGCCTTTCATCACGAAGTCTTTCCAGAGTTTTCTGGTCCCTGTGATCACCTGTATGATATATATTTCTTTTCATTAATATTACTAACATAATAAGACCCATACATGAACCTTGATGCATCAAAATCCTTATACATCAGTGAAAAATGGATCTAACAGGATTATACCTATAACTAAAAACCTGGAAAGCACCAAACTGCCAATGTATATTGTATTATGATATCATATAAAACAAATCACTTACACAGCCTTGTGAAGCGAACAAATGCAAAATAAGCAGCCGAAGATAAACCAGGCAAAAGAAACATGGGCAAAACCCGAAACGCTCTCATCTTCCAATCCAAGTCCACTGATCTTGTAGTTGCAATGGCATAAACAACCGCAACAACCTGCAACCTGAAAAAGTTTAGGAACATCCATAGACATTGTCTTTCTAGCAGTATAAAACCAAAGGAGAATCTATGATTTAATGGGAAAAAAAGTAAAAATAAAAAGAGTACCTCAAAAATGACACAGAATGCAATGAGATTTCGCCCGACTCTCCTCCAGGTCTGTGATCTCCTCTTCATTCTCACAAGAACAGCAGCTTCTTCCTTAGAAATGTACTGGAGTCTCTTCTCTAAATCGTTTCCATGAAACCTATTCCAGATACGGGAGAAAAACCCCCCGCCACCGGATTTCTTCTTTACCACGTTTACAACGTCAGATTCTTTCTTTTCTGTCTCCGAAATTCCTCTATCCTCTGCCATGGATTTGTCTGCATTGCAAAGCGCCAAAATCAGAAGACTTAATTAAATCGCGATTTGCCTGAGCATAATACATTAATTAATAATTATAAAAGCATCCACCCTGCAAATCCAAGAAAAATTTTTTTTTTTGGGTACAACTGCAAATCCAAGAATATCAAAAACACAGAATCAGTTAAACGATCGACTTTGCTTAATCATAATTAGAAACATATTTTCATCCTACAAATCAGTATGCAGATATTTCCGACGTAGTCTCTTTCAATTTGCCGCCGGACCAGACGTGAGAAGCAACAAAGGATATTCAAAAGAAGCCGAAATACCTGAAACTTGAATCTTCGACCTCGCTTTCTATGGCTTCCTCTTTTCGCTGAGAGCTGCAGATCCGATGGATGAATGAATAAGGCGATGCGATCTGTCCCTCCTTTTTCCGCCGTAATCAATGAAGAATGATGAATTTTCTCGAGAAAATCAAAACGCGAAGTAAAGCTCGACTTGAAGTTAGAGTTTCTTCAAACTCCCACGATTTCTATCAAAACTCTGCCTCCAACCTTTTATCCTTTGCCTTTTCCCTTTCCTGTTGATCGGCGATCTACCTTTCTTCAACTTTAAGTTTGGGTGCATTTTCATTCTCAACTTTGATATCCAGTAATTTGGTCCTTAATCTTTTTAAAATTCACTCGTTTAACTCTTTCTATCAAACG